TTAAAGTAAAGAAATGCTCATCAAGGCTGGTTCGTTGTTGAGCTGGTGGATTCAAATGATTTTTTTTGGTTAAAATTAGACAAGTGTTGTTTAATGAAGTAAAGTATGAAAGAGATTTTGGAGGTGCCAAAGTATGTGATTCATCATATTCCATGTATAAAATTTAGTATTTTCTTCGTTTCAATTTATATGAGTTAGTCACGGAGTTTAGGAAATAAAAACTTTTGAAACTTGTAGTTCAATGTGAGTCATAGATATTTGTGACTAAAAATCATTTCATCATTAAGAATAAAATAAACATATTAAAATTAAATTGTTGTTAAATATAGAAATGTGTCATTTTTTAATAAGGAAAGTAAATCTAGGACAAATGGAGTATTAGTTTAGGGAAATTTTTCAAAATATCAATATTTTAGCATTTAATAGGACCACCCCTTAGCCACACTTTCAATATTTATTAAAAATGTCAAAATTTTAGTTTGTTATGTATTTGATTTATATTTTTTTTATTTGATTTAATTAAAAGAATACACTTATTTTTAATTACAGAAATGAAAAATTTAGAGGAGAGATTATTTTTAAAAAAAGAACATATCAATTAAAATTCTCATAAGTTACAAATTTAAAAATAAATGCATAGCACCCATCCCTCTTCTTCATCAAATTCTCCAATATCAATATTAAATTTCCATTGATACTACTCAATTTCTGTTGAAGTGAATTCAATTAAATTCTATTTTTCTGTTTGAGAAGAAAATTTTGAAATACAAATCAGTTTAGAATATAACTTTTGTTTACATCAAAAGTTATAAATAAAAGTGAATAATTAATTTGATGAACAATTAAGAAACGACTTTAGAATACAATTTTTGAAATGCAAAATCCAGTTTTGAATACAATTTTTTTGTTTAATCAAAAGTTAAAATGAAACTATATGAGTATAAATAATTGATATACAACATACAAAATACATTTATTTGAATACAATTATAATTGATAATTGAACTTGAACATAACATACAAAATGAATGATTTGAATGCACATGAATACAATACAATATGTTAAAATAAATACGATATTATATTACTGAAAAATACAATTCAAATATAAAGAATACAACATACATATTAGTATGCATACAAATTTAAGTAAAGATATATATCATTTAATTCGCTTATAATTTCATTCAAACAAATGCAATGTTCTGAAAATATAATTGACATATGAAAAATACAACTGACAATACTAATATCAACACAAATTAAATAATAGTGAGGTTAATAAAAATATAGACCCAAAAGAAAATTTACTAAATAAACGATTTTATATTAAAACACAAAAATACATAAAAGACTCAAAATATACAAATCAAAACTAAAAAATATTGATATGAACTTAATAAATACAAACCCAAAAAGAATTTATCCGATCAAAGGATAATCTGATGCGCATATATATTGATATGAACTTAATAAATATAAATCCAATAAGAAGTTATTCGATCAAATGATAATTTGATACATATCTTTTATATAATTCTTTTTCATTTTGAAAAGAAGAAGAAGAAGAAAGAATCTGGACAAAGAGAGGGGAATAAAAATAATGAATAGAGAGAAAGTGGGATTGAAGGAGAGTGAAAATTGTGGTTGAAGGGGAGTGAAAATAGGATTTATTTTAGGAGGATAATTATAAACATATAATTTGCTATATATGAGAGAGATAAAAATTAATTTGAAAAAATATGAGAGAAAATACGATGGATACACTTTATTTGCTAAAATATTGACATATTGACATTTTAAATAATTATGTTAAAGTGTAGATGTTTTTAATAATTAAGTTAGAAATTTTGACTAGTTAGCTAATTTTTCCATTAGGTAGTTGGGATATGTTAGAGATCCATTTATATTGTTGAATATGGTAACCTCTTCTAACTTCAATTCTTTATAATTAGAACCAATAACTAAACAAAATTCATTGACTTTGGAGTAGACACCACCAAGTCAATTTGTGAACTCTTCCTAACTTCAATACCATCTCAACTAAAAGGATATTTATTCATTCTTTTTTTCCCCTTCCTTACATATATGTATGTCGATCATTTATAAGTTTGGATAATGATCACAAAAGGATGTGTGCCTATGTTTTTTTGTTGTTGTTAGTTTGGGAATAAAAGTGGTCATAACTCTTAATTCATTTTGATTATTAATCGTTTCAAGTGATTGTGATTCACTTTAATCTCACCTTCTTTATGTAGCGGGTCTCAATTTTATGGTTAAGAATCTGAAACTTCAAGATACATCAGATTTTGTAAATTTATGTAAATAAGACGCACAAAACTATTTTGTAAACTTGTGTAAATAAGACGCGCAAAACTATTTTGTAAATTTATGGAAATAAGACGCACAAAACTATTTTGTAAACTTATGTAAATAAAACGCGCAAAACTATTTTGGAAACTTGGCTCCTCTTGGTAAGTACTATCAAATAATTAATACTCCCTCCGTGAGGTAGTTTGACTCGGCACAACGTTTAAGAAAGAAATGAAGAGTTTTAAAACTTGCGGTCTAAAATAAATGATAGAAATTTGTGTGGCGGTAAATCATTTCATTAAGGATAAAATAGACAATTTATAGTTAAATTCTTACTTAATATGAAAATGTGTCATTCTTTTTGGGACTAACTAAAAAGGAAAGTAAATCATATAAATTTGGACAAAGAAAGTATATGTTTTCCAATTATTATTGTGAATAACATCAATCTAGCTTAAACAATCTTCACGTTGGACCTGTGCCACATGTCATATTTTTCTAGTTCTAATAGAGAAGTGAGTCAGTTCAATAATTGACGAGTATTAAACTTGTGTTTGTCAAGTAGCCATCCATTGAATGTAACAAAGAAAAAAGCTTCTATTCATCATCTGAGGAGCTTTCGATTAACGATAAAATTGTTTTTGTGTGATCTATAGGGCATATAATTTTGAGTTGTGAGAATTATAACTAATTAAGATATACTGTTTACATCACACCTCTTAAAATACAGTCCTTTAATTATATGGATCATTTAACAAATGTTGTGAGAAATTAAACTGATTCGTAAGGACTAAGCTAAATGATCAATAAAAAGCTTCTTTGTTTTTCTTCACTCGATGTCTGATATTTATATTAGAGTTAAATAAAATTTGAATTTACGCATTATAAAATTCATTTCTTAAAATATCTTTCACCTGAGACCTCTTATTAAAACTTAAAGAGTGAAGAAATCCCGAACCATCTCACCAAATTCAACCATGTTGATGATAAAAAGCTTTTCAAAAGCACACATCATAGTTGTGTTACAAACTTACATGATTGTGTATATATAGTGGGTACAGTTAGCAGTAAATAAAAGCAAAAAAATAAAGTAAGAAAAAGTAGCAGTAGGTATAAAGAAGTTACTATAATTAATAACGTACCACATTCTCAAGCTTTTTCTGTACCACACAACACCTTTTTTTCACAAGTGGGAATCAGCATTTACCTCTCCAATCTCTTTCACATCGCGGATGAATACGATTTTTTCATTTTTAATTTAAAAAATTTAAGTTTGATTATGAAAATGAAAAATATTATGATAGAAACGACTTCTTCCTTTAATGACACGTATTGCATGTCCAAAGTTCTTGCATGACTCGAACTAAGAAAAACAAAAAAAACAATTAATGAGAAAAATTTATATCATTGTTAAATTATTTATTGAAACTCGGTGCATGATGTATTCCGTATTTAGATAGGATTTTTTGAATCAACTATTGATACCTTACGTCGCTTACATCTATAATCTTTTTCTCAAATTATACGTGAATACGGAATATTTCTATACATATATGAACGTGGATTCACTTGTATCTATTAAGCATATATACTTTGTTTCAATCCATAAAATAGTTTTGTAGATACTAGAAAGTTGTTGGTGCATGTATTGCACCCTTGTAACAAGATCCTAAGATCATGCTCGTGAAAACATGAATATTTTAAGATTACATCACACTTCTTGGTATAGCCTTTTTCAAGATTCGAAATAATTAACTGAAATATTTTGTTCATCAAACTATCCGATGTCCCTAACTTGATTCTTAAACTTTTGCTTCTCACCAATTAAAAGTTTATGCATTCTACAAATATTCACTAACCATAAAAAGAAAAAAAAGAAGAGAGAGAAAAAAAATTCAAGTGAATTATTAACACCAAAATAAAACAATCCCCACCAAAGGTCTAAAACAATAACAATAAAATTACAAAAGTTCAGAACATATTAAAAACAAAAGGGAAAGTGCTACACGGTTCTTGTTGGAGGTAAGGTTGGTTCATGTTACCCTCTAATTTTGTACACTTTCTGAATTAATGGACATGGCAAGGATCAAGTCTAACCCCCACATTAGTGACTTACAACCAATTGGTGATGATTTCGAAAAAATAAAATAAAACGCTACACGGTAAAACCTAGATGAAGAAATCGGGGTTAAATTTTTTTACCTTATTTAGAAGTTTCGGGTTCATAGCTTTGAAATGGCAAAAACACTAGTAAGAAGTGCTTCCTTTTTAATAGCTAGGCACTACACGATTGTTAATTATAGATTTTGAGTTCGAACTGTTCAAATAGAAAAAACTTATGAGATAGGAAGCATTTTTCTCTTTAGTAAGACCAATAAATTACAAAAATTTAAAAGGAAAGTGTATGATCAACAAACCGTACATTCTAGATAAAGAAACCGTGGTTAAATCGTTCTATCTAACTCAAAAGTTTCGAGTTTAAACCTTCAGAATAGCTAGGCATACACGAAGTTAACTAGAAATCTCGAGTCTAAACTCCCAAAATAGAATAACTTTTGATACGAAAATGATTTGCTCTATTCAATAAGACTAATATAATACTGAATATCGAATACCAGAAGATTTCACCAAAGAAAAAAGATCTAGTAGAGAGAGAGAGGAGAAAGATAGTTTTGAAAATAAGAAATTCTTCAATTATTCTTCAAACATCAACATGACAATTTTGCACCAATTGATACTTCCCAACAACAACACTATTCCCAAGAAATTTTCCACCAATACCAACATAAGCAGGACAATTAACATACAAATGATATTTACTTGAAATAAAACTCCCAACTTTCCACCTAACTCTTCCATCAATCCTAACATTTAATAAAATTGTACCAAATAGTATATCTTGACTAATTTCATTACCTAAGTAAGGTGCAATTGGTACATTATTACCATACACAAAAGGTGACCATATCGACACATCTTTGTGACCTTGGTACGTTTGTGGCAACAATGTTGGTAGTGTAACTTGTTGGCCACGATACGTGGCGTAGACATCGAGTTTATCATAGTAAATTCCAATTTTATCATTAGGATTACGAGAGGCGATCGTGATTTGTATGTTGGTCGTGAGGAAATTAAAGGGGGTAGAGGTGTTGAACGCGTACACGGTCGCGTCTTGGAGGATGAAATGTGGTTTTGTTGGACGTAGGATGAGAAAAATGAGGAGGATTGTGAAGAGGATTAGGGTTACGAACGCGATCAAGGCGGTGATTAGGCGGCGTTGGAGGTTGTGCCGCTCATCGTCAATGTGGTGGCTGCAGTCCTTTTCCGTCATGATGGTGGTGGATGGTGGTGGTGTGATTTTTTGGTTGTTTGAGAGAGTTGAAGTTGAGAGAGTATTTGTTTGAGTTTTGAGATAAGTTGATGAAATATGGTTTGTAGGTGTTAGAAGGGAACAAAGTAGGGGATATATATGAAAATCTTCCTTTTTTTTTTAGAAAAAAACAGATGTGTTATTTGAGTAGTGCGTCTCGGAAGCAATCTCTTTATTTTTGTAAGATGGAAATAAAATGTGTATATTCTATCTTTTTCAACTCCACTTGTGAAATTATACTGAATATATATTGTTATAAGTAAAATCAACTTGATGGTGTAAAATCACATTATTAAACTGATGACGTATATAATTTAAACTCTAGTTTTATTTAGTTTAATACATGAATCGACACTTACTTTCCATTAATAAGAACTAAGTCTTTTTTTATATCACCATTTACTATCCGTAAAGGAAGAATTATAACATATTAATATGATTAATTTAAATTTATATTGTTATGTAAGGTCCATATATATTTATAAGAGACGTATGTCAGAGTGAAATAATCTTATCTATCCTGTCATATATAGTAGTTATTGATAAATTGTGCCAAAGACCAATACAGAAGCCAAAGATGTACCAACTACTATTACTTATGATGAATTAGATGATATTAAAGTGAATGGTGGAAAATGAAGTTTGGTGATGGTAATTGAAGTTTTGTTTGGTACAACCTTATCTTTTAGGGATAGATGCTTCTACACACAAAAAAAAAAGGGTTAAAAGGTTAAAAAGTTATAAAGAAAGATTCAAGAATTATACCAAAAAGTATATATATATATATATATATATATATATTGTAAATGCAAATGACATGATGAAGGTATGACATGATTCTCAAGTCACACCCACCAACTCTGCCTATTATACCAAGAAAGTGTAAGAACTTTAATTTGGAGTTTTTCATTATTTGGAAATTTCGATTTCGTTTTTCATGAATAAAGACGATAACAACAATATCAAGAACATATTTCGTGCAATTTCATAAATAAAAATTAGAAATAAGATATATACAAATCATTCTATCTTTATGGAGATAAATAGATAATTTTCAATAAACTCCCGACTTAAAAAGGAAGAAAAAAAAAGAATAAAAGAATTCATAGCATAAATATAAAAATAAAATAAAATAAAATATAACAACAAAATAGCAAAATACAAATGAATGAGCAAAAGATAATAAAACACATTTTTCATGTAATAAAGACATTTTTTTGTTTAGTAGTTTGCTATCAAAATTCATTAGCTCAATTAATTTAGGTTTATATTATGTAAAATCAATTAATTTCTTGTTTTTACCATACAATGGGTCAACAAACGTAATAAATTTATTGCCACCTTATGTACCTACTTATCGTATTTTTATCATATTTCATAGTTTTATAGGAAGGGAGTAAATATTAATATTTATAGCTGAGATTTTTTTTTTTTTTTTTAATAATAAGCTAATCAAATTTTTATTTTATCTTGACTACAAATTATAGAAGAAGTCTTGTTTTTTACCATAATCCTCGGGAGAAATGCTTCCTATTTAGTAGGAATTTTTCTATTTTCATAAGTTGAACTCGAAATACTTCATTAAAAATAAAAAATTTTTTTACTAAAAACCATTATATTCTTAGAGTTCTCCGAAATTTTGATTAAGAATAGAGTTAGGGGCATTAGTTATCACCTTAAACCTAACTCTAATCTTAATATGTTAGAAAATTTATTCTCTACATATATTATATCCTATTCAGAATTCACTTGTGCATGTGCCTTTTGCTCTTTCAAATTTGTTAGAGATTTTTTTAAGATGAGAATCTATTAAAAATTATCGTCACTCCATAAAAATAAGAGAAAAGAGCCTATGTACACTTCTCTATTCAGAATTCATTTACGAAATTGTGCTGAATAAGTTATACTAACGTTATGATATGTAATGAACTATGAAGTTTCCACACAATTGTAGAAATATGATGGAAACTTCTATTATTTAATTATTTATTCGCGCTCTATACATATTATGACTTGATGATTATAGTTAAGCAAAAAATATGTTTTTATAAAGATTATGTATATTATTTATAATATATTAATTTTATGTAAATATTAAATGTGGATAAAATTTTCAATCTCCTTTTAATCCAAGCAGAGAAGACAAAGAAGGAAAAGGTGTAGGGAACTAGAGAAATATCCAAAGCAAATACTAATATCACCACCTCTTTTTTTTATATGACAAGGAAAATCCACAGTTGTATCTTTTGGGTGCGCACAGAGTAAAACTTCTGCTTCTATGCAATAACTCGTAAATCACACAAAAGAGGTAAACCACACTAGGTTAGCCGAGTGCAATGAACCCGAGCCAGAAGACAATCCCTTACTTTCAGTGGCAATGGGTTTCAAACTTGAAACTTGTACTACCAACCTCTTTTCTCATCTATGTGTTAAGAATCTAACTTTCTAAGGGATAAAAAAAAATGAGAAAGAGGATAAGAAAAGAATACTTTGAGACTAAGGACCTTTTGTAACTTTGTTGAAAAAGAAGTTGTTTCTCCCTCATGCATTGTCAGAATCAATTTAAAATTCGACTAATCTGAATTCATATCGAGAAGTTCCATTTTGAAGATGCACTTCCTATAAGATATGATTTCATACTCAAAGTTCATACCCAAAACCTTTAATCAAGAATGAATTACACATAGCTCTACCCTAACCATAGTAACTTGGTAAATGAAGTTGTATATGCAATCAGAGCACAAAGTTCATGTATTCGTCGATAAACCATCTCATTTACAAGAAATTGCAATGTTTAGATGTTATTTATAGCTTAATTGTTTCTCAATATAGAAATGTATCGTTCTTCTTTTGAAACAGACAAAAAATTACCTCATCTTGTATAGTAAAGCACTCAAGATCAAACTCAAACTAATTACCTATGGGAAACAGAAATAACCATATTAGTCTACACATCTAACTGAAGTTTAGAGATTCAAAAAAATATTAAGAACCCCCAATGATTTTCTATTTTTAAAATCTAAAACCCATAAATTCAAAATCCTAGCTAGCTCCGCCGCCACAAAATATAAAACAATTTAGCCAGTTTACTAAATTGCAACTATACAATTATGAAGAAGCAAAGTAAATGAGCCCCCAAAAGCTTTTAACATTAATAAAAAGGATATCTACAGACAATTAAGTTGTCAATGTAAAGCATGTACAATATATGTTTTGGGAGCATATGATATTAACTGATACTACTACCAAGTTCTAATTGAAGAAACCTAAAAAATTATCCCAGATGAAACAGCAACAGCAGCAGAAGCCTCTGATGTCGTTTTGGTAGAGACGCGGCAACTAAGACTGGCAAAAACACGCTGTTCCCACGCATACCTGTAAACGAGATTTTGTTAGCTTCATAAGCAAGATGACAAGAACATCATATTTCAACAACTTGTCTCATAAAAACTATGTCTGCTTGAACTCTCAGCAAATGTTGTTGCATCCATGTCGGTTTCTCCAAATATACACTACTTCTGAAGGTTCCGGCACGTACCCATTGCAATTGTGAAAGAGTCCATGCAAACATAGAACTGTATTGTTTCGCAAGCATATTTTTCTTACCGTCTTATCCCTTAGATAAGATGGAATATACTTTAACTGCATAACAAAACCTGAACTATAAATACAGCACCACCAAATAATATGATCAAAAAACACAGAAGCCAAAATATCTTTTTGGTTCTGAAAAATATGAACATGAACTGTACAAGCTTCACTAGTAAACTACAGGCTCAAAGTACAGAAGGCAGATACACGGGCCTTCCGTGACAAAGTTGTGGAAAGTACAAATGTAATAGGTAGATCTCTTTGAAATTAATAATGCCACTCGATCAATGTGGAAAATTTCAAGCCACAACTTAACCTCAGCCCTACCTTGGGAGGTAGAGAGGATGTTCCCGATAGACCCTCAGCTCAAGTAAAAGCAGCATCACAAAGCAGTTTGAAAAACAAAACAATGGGAATGAAGAAGCCAAGACAAAATGCTAAAGAACGCATGACAAAGCATACTTAAAAAGGAGCAGTCACTACTATAAATAATACGATAATCGAAGTGCAAGAAACATTAAATAGTAATAGAAATGGAATAACAAGAAACTCCCAGAGTAATACTACGACTACTAGTATTGGAAAAATAAATGATCAGTATTAGTGATGCACAGTTCAAACATTTAGGAAGTTCCAAAACCTTATTGCATTATTGTGAGAACAGCTTAAAAGGAAAACCTCTATGGAAGCATAGCATGGCAGGCAAGTCCTAAAGTAAGTTTTTTCCTTCCACACAGAAGAACGGGAAAAGATAAAATGATCTGTTTATGAATATAAGGAATATTTAACGCTACAAACACCACGTGTATATTAGAAACTACTGCCAGTACCTACTACTATTGCCAACATTTCAATTAAGTGATCTAGAAATAGAAAATGTGTGAAGAATATACCTATCAAGTATACTTCTTGATTCCTTAACAAAACCCAGGGAGATTGGACATGAGGATGTAAATAACAAACCAGCGCCTAATTTAATGTTTCAATTTTATCCTTGATATATAACAAGGCACTATGCATTGACCATTATCATTTTTTTTCTATTGGTTGTGCGTTGACCTTTTATCTTCTAAACTTAAATATCTAAAATAGTCTACACGTATTTTCTAGGAGAAGTCCCACAATGTACCTTATTATGTCTGAGTTTGTTCTGTTCGTTGTAGGTCATAAGTTTATTCCTTGCACAAGGTTGTCCCTTAATTTTCAAATCACCAAAATTACAGCACAATACCCCAAAAGTCATTGCTTTTTCTACATTCAGAGAAATTATGATGACAACAATAGATTTATGCTCACATAATATCGTTTGACCTGTGGCAATAGATATAAAATTATCATTAAGAGTACAACATAAAACTGCATGCATAAAGAAAAGCCCATTCAAAACTCTATGCTTTGTATTACTTCAAGTGATTTAAGGTGATCTCTGCGGAAGGGCAGATAATAGCTCTATGAAAATATTGGTAGTATCTTTTTGGGGATAGCAGTATAGCTAAGACGCGATAAGTAATGAACAGAAGTTACATTTTGAGAAACAAAAACATAAAGATCTCAAAGTTGGATACTGTCTCCCCTGACAAAATCTGAACATGCAACGAACTATAAGATGAATTATGACCGTACATATAAAAATTAATCAAACCTACTATCAGCTAGAAATAAGCACACATAGTCCCGTCATCGAAACTGCACATTGCTTAGAAGGTTTACTTGATTTCTTTCCTAAACAAGTGGAGAGCTGATAAAGGAGTATTAAAAGGAAAGCACGCCAATCCCACCCAAATTCAATGATACATAGTGGATGACGTATATGTATTTTATTAGACCATGATATCTTCCAAAACTTAAACAGATTGAAGCAAAGATGGCATCTACTAAGCCAGGAATTGTGACTCAACCTGCCCGAACATTTATGGTTGACCCAAGTCCCAACCCAGAAGTCCATTTTATGATATCACTCCTATCCCCTCATCCATACACGAGGCAATACTCTCTATAAATATATTCATATACCTTTTCACATCCACTTCTTTCCAACGCTTTTATCATTACACCATAAAGCAAGAATATAGAACAATTACCGGGAAAGTACATTCTCAGATAGATGGGAAGTATGCAATCATACAAGCAGTGATAAATTTGCAAATGTAGAAAAACGTCCTACAGCTTAACTAATCGTTTGACCTTACCATTAAGACCAAGTACATAAATGCAGCTAGCAGCTGCACACCTTGAAATTCTTAAACCACTGAAACTGACTCATCTTAACTCTAATTTCATCTGTGCATTTCACATCTCCAATTACTGAAGTCCTTTCCTATCCCCTAATATTCACTCTTCTTCTCAAATCCACACATCTTCTTAGGTTATCAAGTGTGGTGATCAGGGAACTTTTAAGAGTAAGCCAAAGTCATCAGTAACAGCCATGATTAGGATTCTTTAGGACCAAGAATCTAAACCTTCAAGTTTGTGACAGTCTTTCTCATTTGAGGACTGTAGGTCCAGATTTGAAGAGACAGACATGTGTGCTCCGAGCTGTCGGTTACCTAACCAGATCAGAATACAGACACTAAGAAAGGTGATATCCTCTATTTCAGCAAAAACTAGGAGGTCTTGAACACATCAGCAACTGGCCAGTGTACTTATCATCTACCAAGAGATGAGCACATTCCAGTTGTCGCAGTTCAAGAGTGAACTTCTACCAGCAGCTAGTATAGAAGAAAACATTATATACAAAAATTGCACATGAACTAAACAAATCCTACTCTCCTTGAACTATTAGGTATCACTTTCCAGTAGATTATATTCCAAAAAGAACTTTGGTTGGACTTGGAAAACAAACATGTCAGAGCACCAGGACAAAAAAATAAGTTATACAGGCTAATGTCAATAATCAAATATGTGAATCAGCGGAATGATCCAGAAGCAAATTCCATAATTGAACTAAAGGGCCTTTCTACATCTCGATTTACCTCAAGATCAGTGATGTATATAACTACTCTCAATTCATATTTACTTTTTAACAGAACATATCAAGTTTACATTCATGTCCACTTCATTCGTTATGCTATGGACTATTAAAAGCAAGAACAACCAAGGAAAAGCTATTAGCTTGATAACCAATGTACCTCAGAAAAAACAACTACTGAGAAAATTATACACAATGTAAACCAATGAACCCTTATAAATAGTCTTTCTTATAATTACTCAGACCACAATTAACCACATTGCATTTGCCAATAGCAATAGATTTTCACCTTAAAACAAGCAAAGATCACCGTCAGAGTCCAACGCGGCACTGTCGTGCACCACCAAGCAAGGTACCCGATGAATTATTCGACCCGACCTCCACTGACAAATCCTTACAATAGACCCTTACAAACCTCCTCCTCGCTCTCCAAGCCCCAGCCCTAAACCTAACCCTAGCCACCATCCTCACATTGAACCCAATTGCACCTTTTCGCGACCTTTCTTTGTTCATCTGATCAAAAGCCCGATTATTCACATATGCTCCCGCAGTAGCAAAACTCGCTTGCCGGGCCGTCTCAGCCCTCTTCTCCTGAAAGAAAGGCGGAACCGTTGTATCCGAAAGCGACACGTCATCATAGAAAACCGCAGCGGCGACATCATCATAGTAAAGAGTCATCTTCTTATTTGGGTTTCTAACAGTAAAACGAAGGTCCCATTTACCAGAAATCAGCGAATTGGTGAGATTAAGATTCGATACTGACAGTGAATCAACTCTGAACTCGGGGATTCGAGGACGGAGTATAAGCCAGAGAATGAAAACAAAGGTACCAGCGATGACCATAGCAGCTATAGCCATACCGATCACTCGGCGGAGGAAGGTGTTGCGTTGGGCGTCGTAGGGATTATTAGGTTGGTAGTACGGGTTGTTTTGGTAGTACACCGCGGAGGCAGGTGGCGGTGCTGCATATGGGTAAGCGGTGCCTATCGGTGGTTGTTGGTGAGCAGCACCTCCGTAACCGTTAGGGTTTGGCGGCGGTGCTCCGGCGGCAGGGTAACCGGTAACTGGCCGATTGGGGTCGTTCATGGCGGAGAATTTTTGGTAGCATAAAAGGCGGAGAATTGTGAAGTTTTATAGTGAAATGCTGCAGTAAGTCGGCAATGATTCTTCCTTTTTAAACAAAAAGAGTAAAATAAACACTTTAGGGGCGTTTTTTGACATTTTAAGAAGTTTGGGGGCTAATATGTAATAATGTCCACAATTTTTATTTTTTTTTCAATTTATACATATACTTAGTATAAGCAAGCTCTAAGATTATATCTTTGGAATAAAATTTCAATTAGCAAAGGAAAACTGACATGGCATGAATCTTCAAATCTGTATTCAGAAATAGTAATGTTTTGAAAATAAGCGTGATTCATTAAGTGAAGAACGCTAACCGAATAGTTAGAAATGTCAGAAGGGACGATTCAAATTCCTCGTCGAATTTTACGAGTTTTATTAAGTTTTGTCTCGAATTAAGGTGAAATGTGAGGGTGGATTTTCGTATATGAAAAGGTTGGGGGTTGATATGTAAATAACATCTCTAACTTGATCTTTTCAATTTCTTCTAAGTTAAGAAAAAAAATTAAGCGCTTAAGTAGTAGGCACATCCGCACATGACTTGCATTAGTGAAATATTTTCTCCATCATTATTTATTTATTTTGAGGATTAGCCGGATAATCTTTATTTTGTACAATTTATCAATTTCTTATTAGAAGATTCATCAGCAATATCTAAATTTTGGTTATTGTTTATAATAATTTTGGTTTGCTTTAGAAATAAATATTTTAAGTGATACGTATATTATTTATAATGATAGTTCAATTAAAGTAGAAGGAAGAGATGATGATAAAATAGTTTTTTGTTAATACGATGATTATGATAAAATGAATAAGATTCTTTATAATGATCAAATGGTCCTTTTATCACGTATATGTACTTAAAATTTAAAAGTTATCGAGGAATGAAGGTATTTGTCTTTTACTAAAACATGGAAGTGTATGTTTTTTTAAACCAAACTAGAAGGATGAAAATATAAATTTACTAAATTAAGATAAATATCATAACCACCACTTTTGTTTCCCACAAAATCCATGTTTCTAAGCAGCGGTTTTTCTAATGGACAACTCAATGCTTACTCATCTATTTTTGATTGTTTTATATTTTTGTTCGATACTTGTATTGAGGTTCTCGAAGGGTCATTTGGGGAAAATACACTGCTCTCTAGTATTCCTTTTCATATTCAAGATTCAATTTTTTTTGTCTCAGATTATATTCGTAATTTTTAAAAATAATTTATTATTTTAGAAAATTATGTGTATATTCTATTCTTCCGAAATCCATTGTGTGACTATGCATATTATGTTGTTGTTTAGAAATTCAAGACATAATTAATTATTTTTCTCAATTTATTTTTTGTAGTAATTGTTCTTGAAGACTTTTAACACCTTAATAGAATAAATATTTCATAAAAGAAATTTCTATTTTAAACAAAAATAAAAATAAAATAGCTAAAATCTTCTTTTAATTAATATTTTTCAAAAAAATATATAAAGAAAAACACGACTAATAATTTAGGACGATGGGAGCACATATAATCGTGTTCTTAGGTATCGAAGTTCACTAATGCCCCATCAAGAAGTTGACGTCATAATTAAATTCCTCTTATTTCCTTTCCAAAGTTTGTATTCTATTTTCATTTTTAGATCTTGCAAAATTATTAACCCTCTACAATATATTTAATCTAAAAATGAAAATAAAAAATATTTAAATTTTAAACTAATACTATGATTAATATTATGCATGCGGACAAAGTTCCTCAAACTAAAAGGAAAGAATAACATGAAAGAACATATGATTGAAGTAAACATGCACCAACTTACTCTCCCTTTTTTTTAGTTTAGAAGCAATTACAAGTGAGTAAAAAGTACGGAGAATAACAAAATATTACATTACACAAAATCAATATCCCATATCTAAAAATATTAACAACATTTCACCAACAAGATCAATTTTCAGCAGAAAAAAACATAATCATATTAACTGAAGTTAAAATTAACTTCCAACAGCATCATTTCAATAAAACTTAAAGCAAAAAAAAAGCTTGTGATCAAGCTCTTACATGATCACTCATTATAAATGGAGATAAAAAGGAAGCAGATCTATGATAATAATCGGTCTATATTACAAGTAAGTAATCAGTTCAAACTGAATGAAAAACATCTGTATAAATAGATAGAAAATCACATTATAGCATACGTCAAAACTATTCAATTCAGAACTGTAATCAAAGTATTGAAAGAAAATGATATGGAGAAACAAAACCTGAAATTAGAGGGAAGGAACTTACGGTTTCATGGAGAGTTCGATGTATACTTGAAACTGCAGCCAAGCCCCATCAAAAATCTTCATTCATGTTGATGAAATTTTAAATCTTCAATTGCTGCACAGTGAGCTATATCGAAAAAGTGATGAAATAACTTGTTATTGCAACTTCAAGCAAACTTTGAAGTACCCTGCTGAGACCTTAATAGAATATAAGCTGATCAATGTCGATGATAACAGCAGCAATACAAATGTAACACAAAATAAGTAGCTAAGAATTCTTAACATATGAAGAGCATGCTTAATGCTGTTTGCCAGTTACCTAAATCAGGGCCAAAAAGAAATAAAGGGCAGATGATACACAGTATTATACTAAAAGATATAAAAAAGTTAACTTGAGGTGGCTTGGTCGATTACGGTGGGTTATTGCTGCACAGAACTGTTAACACCTGCTGCAGCTGATCCTGTGCCAATGATCTCCTCAATTGGAATCTCCCTGTCAATCTGCTCGTTTTCGTGTACTTTACCATCATTAGAATTCTGAACCAGTGGATCTGCAGCGGCTGGAGCTTCTTCTTGGCTAACTGAGGTTGCCTTGCTGAGTTCAGCAGAACGAGATGAGGCATCTGGCCCAGCTGGTTTACTCCCTATCTTATTTTCATCGACCACATCCAGTGCATCTTCAGCGGCAGGAGCTTCTTCTGCAATTTCTTCTGGGCTACCTGAGCTTGCCTTGCTGAGTTCAGCAGAAAGAGACGAGGCATCTGTCCCAGCTGGTTTACTCTCACTCTTATTTTCTTCAAACACATTCAATGGAAGCATTTTATTGTCAGTTTTAAGGCTGTTGTCCAGAGGCTTATCTTCCGCTTCTCGATTTTTCATTTTCTCTATGTTTCCCTCATCCAATGTTTCTTCTTTTTCTTGCACAATTTCCATCTTATCTTCACTTTCCGGAGGCTCCTCAGGGACAATCTCACCAGCATTGGTCTTCTCTTCCTCATCCTTTGTTTCTTCTTTTTCTTGCACAATTTCCATCTTATCTTCACTTACCAGAGGCTCCTCGGGGACAATCTCACCATCCCTGATCTTCTCCTTCTCATCCTTTGTTTCTTCTTTTTCATGCACAATCTCCATCTTATCTTCACTTGCCAGAGGCTCCTTGGGGACAATCTCACCATCATTGGTCTGCTCCTTCTCATCCTTTATGTTATCTCCATCGGTGAGATTCTTAGATGCCATCTCTACATCTTGGACTTCTAGATCCTCTGCATCAGGCAAAGCAGGTTCATCACTTGCCTTAGCTTCTTTCTCAGTAGCACCCTCAGCTTCTTGTGCGCCACCATCCTCCTTGGCTTCTTTTTTGGAACTTGATTTCCTTTGTCTCTTCGTACTGGGAGTATCACTTTCTGGTGTCTCCGTTGCTTTAGATTTTCCACCCAATCTAGTTGATCGTCTAGGAGTGTCACCTGAATAAGTCAGAAAGTAGAGGATTCATCCAATCAATAAGGAATTGAAACAAACCTCCCAGAGATGAATCTGCAACATCTCATCCGAAGAATTTACTGGATATTTCATTGGGAGATATGCATTCCAGATATGCACAGACAAAGAAAAGGAGAATAGAGAAGATATACCTGTACCCCAATTAAATTCAGACGCAGGAGGTCCTCCTGGATGTGATTTCAGATACTTGTCCAATTGCCTCTTGTTCTTAATTTCGTCGCCATCAGGTGAAACAAATACAATATCATTCCTTCTAGGGGTACTGCTCTTTCCTGGAGTGAACTGGAAAGACAAACAAATACTTACTACCAACAAAATACAAACTGATTAAAATAAATAATACTTCCACAAGTCGGCATTCTAAATAGAGACTCAACTTTTGTATACAACCCTCTAGGAGAAATTCACTTCAGAATTTTAAGCCACATCAGATAGGCCACAGGTCCATCAAAAGAGGAGAAAAGTTCAGATTCACTGATATTTTTCGTATATGTTCCGCACAGGTAATTATAGTTGGTGCCACATTCAACAAACTTAAATAAGCAACATTCAAAGTTGAAGTTGATTCAAACTTCTGACAATCTTAAGATATATTTCAAACAACAACAAAATTTCTGTATTAGGGCAGACTAGTAGCATTAGTTTCCAAGTTAGTCCTGAGTACTTGTATAAATATCTCTCCTAAATAGGAATCTATGAGTACTCCGGATGTTTCATGGTCAATACTGGAACAGCTTGCACCCTCAATTACATAAAGAGCTGTACAGTGACTATCTTATGTCTTTCGAATAATGGCTTGGAAACCATGACTTAAAAGAGGTGATTAAATCAACCAACAAACACCACAACATCTTAATTATGATATTTTACAGATTAGCTAGGAGACAATTCCGCCTACGTCCTAAATGCTGGTATAAATACCTCTCCTAAATAAGCATTTATTTCAAGTAGTATACATCTTTCATTGTCATTACTGGAACAGCTTTCCCCCTCAATAACATAAAAGAACTGCTTAGTGACGATCTACCCCTTTCAACTAATAACCTGGAAGGTATATGACTGAAACGAGGTGATGAAATCAACAAACTAAACCACAGCATCTTAATTTTGAAATTATGCAGATTAGCTAGGAGACAATCCCAACAGTTATGAAAATCATAAACAAAAACGATTTCTATTAACTTCATAAGACAAACTGCATACACCTATTCACGGAACTTCTGCTAATAAGCTAACTAAAGCATAACACACCTACTTGATTGAGTTCCACGATACATCACTCATAATTATTCATTCAGATTCAGATTCAAACAAGATAAAAAAGTCAAAAAATGAATTCTATCAAGTTCATACAAGACACATCTGCAAACACATACTGAATATACTTAAACTGCATAATTTTTTGCTAGGAAGCTAACTAAAGCATAATGCATCTACTTGTTTCAGAGCTGCACATGTCACACATAATTAAATCTAGATCACAATTAACGCTTAACATATCATTAATTCAAAACAACAAAAAACAGCTAAATCGAAATTTAATCACCAAATCATAACCTCATGAAAACCTAAATCCGCACACTAACAGCAGCAAAAGTTAAATCTCCATTTTTCAACCACAAAAACGCAACTAAGCAACGAAAATTACAGAAATCACTAAATCAAAACAGCTGAATCGAAATTTTAACTGCGAAGAAAGTATTAAAGAGTACAAACTCTCTTCTTCCAGCCAGGAGGAGCAGGTAATTCGATCGGAACGGCGTCGGTTTTCTCCATAGCAACATCTTTGTTCTCCATTTCCATTCTTCTTCTTCGGTTTTGAAACTGGAAAAAACTTTGAAGATTTTCCCGCTCAGAATGAATTTTGTAAACAGACAAAAAGGGGAATTTTTCGAATTGGGAAATTAAATAGGGAAAGTGTAACAACGGACGTCAGATTTTTTTCCTTAACTAAATTGGAATTATTCGGTTAAAGTCCGATCAACTCATTTTTATTATTTTGACGAAGATTTAGGATCTATTATTTCTTTTAGATTTAGGATTTTTAATAAATAGCTTTATTTAGTGCTCATTTTTGTAAATATATAGGGATTTGTTTTTCAAAACGTAGAAAATTAGATGTTTTATAAAATGTTCTTAATGAGTAATCGGCTTATGTGTGAGCAGGATAGAAAAGATTGAAACAAAGTCGCAGAGGAGGAAGTTCCAAATCTATGCATTTCATTCTTAGCAACGGCTCCTTCGATATAATCTGTTGAAGTACTTCACTTACTTTTGAATTTTTTTTCAAAATGTAGTAAGATATCTTGTGTTTACGTATATATAATATTTAATCTTAAGTGAAACACAAATATAATATAGGGAAAATACATAAAACCCCCCCTGAATTTGGCACGAAAACTTGCTTTAGTACTTAAACTACACGGGTGTTTATATACCCCCCTTAACATCTTTTATGTGAATTATTTTCAACCCTCCGAACACCAACCTTGTGCGCGTGTTGTTACAGCTTAGAACGGCGCGTTAGTCATCTTTTAACATTTTTTAAAAATTAAATTTACCCCTCCAACGGTAATATCCGACCCATTACCCATTTGAAGAACAATCTTCACTTTTGAAGAACCCTAAATACCTCTTCTCCCTCACCAACCCAATCATCCAAAAAATGGCGACTTAATTCATTATTTTTCTCAAATCTTAGCTCTTCAAACCTAAAAGTTGAATGTTTAAAGGAATTGTTCTTCAAAATGTAAGATTCAAACCTAAAAGTTGAATCTTTGAAGGAAGTGTTCTTCAAAATGTAAGATTCAAACCTACTCTTCTTCATCTATTATTTTGATTTTTCTTTCCTCCCTTTTTCTTATTTTCTGTTTTTTCCAGATATTCGTTAATTCTTGCACAAAATTGTAGCACACAATGCGATCAATTAATTTGACAAATCTTTGTATGGAAGAAGATGATTATACTACGAAGAAAAAAGTTTATTGTAATCATGGACTTGTGGTGCGTTTGAAAACATCTTGGACTTCAAATAACCCCGGAAGAAGATATTGGTCATGTCCTTATTATGGGGTAAAGATCATTTTTGTTTAAATTTTTTTAGCCGATTAAGAATTTGATTAACCACTAATTCCTTCATCCTTTTTCATTATTGAAGAGTCCTAGATCTTGCAACTTTTGGTGTTGGAAGGATAAAGAAAATATTGATTCAAGATCGAAATTTGTGATTCCTAAACTAATACAGAAATTGGGTGAGCTTGAGAATATAGTAGAATCCTCTCAAACCTCAGCCACTGCATTTGAATTGATTGAGGTTACTGAAGAAGTTGACAAGCCGGGAGATTTCAAACAAGATGATGATGGTCTAGGTATGAAATTGAAAATGTTGCAAGAAGAGGTTGAGAAGATGAAAGTGATGCAGAATAAATGGAGAAGAACATGGCAGAATGTGCTCTTTTTTGCTGTTGCTTGTTGTTGCGTTATGGTTATAGCTATAAGCTATTGGTTCTGGGTGATAAATATGAAGAAATGTTCAATGAAGTTACCTTAAGTTGTTGATGTAGTGAGATCCAATGTTGGTGTAGTGTAGCACTGTTTATGTTGTAACCAATTAGGTGCAAAACTCTTTTGTAATGAGTTTTCTTATTCTCTTAATGTAATTTGGTGGTTTGTGTATTTGTTTGTGTTTTATTTACAACTGCATTCGCTAAATTGCAGTCACAATTGCATAATTGTACACATAAAAGTAATGCAAAACTGGCTGCATAATTGTTTCAAAAAGAGACAACTAAAATATCAAACTAATGCAGTCACAACTGCATAATTGTTTCAAAAACAAACATAGATCAAACTATGCAGTCACAATTGCAACATAATTGTTTCAAAAACAAACAGATCAAACTAATGCAGTCACAGCTGCATAATTGTTCCAAAAACAGCTAAAATATCAAACTAAAGCAGTCTCCATATCAAACTTCAGCAGCATTGGACCTTGTTCTCATTCTTTTGTTTTCTCTCATCTCTTGAAGACCTTGTTGAGTTACAACAGCCTTTCCTTTCCATTTTAAGCCTGATTTTGGTTTATGATGCCCAAGATTTCCAGTCACTACTGAAGAGTTCATAGGCATTCCAGGCTAGATTTACAAAAATATGTTGTCTTAGATGCTTCATAAGTTAAAATTAAAAAGTGTGTAAATAATTAAGACAACTTACATTGTGGATTGTAAAACCACTCTGTGTATGTAGTATCCCCATTCCAACCATTCTTGGCCTCTTCCCTCTTCTAGTAGCACCAGGAACATCAGTAGCAGTAACAACTACACTAGTTCTTCTTCCCCTTCCAGCTAAACCAGTTCCAGTTCCTCTTCCCCTTCCAGTGGCACCAGAACTATCAGCAGCAACACCAATCCCTGTTCCATTACCAGTTGCAGTTCCTCTTCCCCTTCCAGTAGCACTAGCCTATAACATAAGTTGATCAACAAATATATTAGACTGATTAAGATGTAAATTAACAACTAAATGAATTACTATAAACATTACCTGTTTTGTAGAACCTCTTGGTCGACCTCTTCCTCTCTTTGTGCTTGATTGTGATTCAGTTGGTGCTCTAGAAGAACCAACACTTGACCTTGTTGAACTAGGCTCACATCCTTTCCCCATTCCTCTTCCTCTGCCTGCATTAGCTTGATTATTCAAATGACAACCCCTCTTATTATGACCCTTTGCATGACAAAGACTGCAGGTCATCTCAACACCTCTCTTGGATAATTTTCCTGTTTTGTTTTCATTCTGCTCCTTTCTCCTACACTTTCTAGGCCTTCCTGGTAGTGTTTTTATAACAGGTGGAATAACAGAAGGGTTGGCCGACTGTGGCCACATTTTCATGTTAGTAACTGGTTGAATGTAGTGACTATAGACCTTGAGATAAGTCTCCTTGCTATACCAATGTGCAACATAGTTAATGGGCTCCAATTTTCTAAAATGAAGTGCAGCTATAACATGACAACAAGGTATACCTCTTAGCATCCAAGATCTACAAGTACATGTTTGATTGCCTAGGTTCACAACAAATGTGTTATCCCAGCTGTCTTTAACCTCAAAACCATATTCGCCATTCCATTCAAGGTTACACTTCATTGACTTTGTTGTGTTCTCTGTCAATACCTTTAGGGCCATTGGAGATATGTTTGTTATCCAAGTATCACAGAACTCCCTCACTTGTCCTATTCTTCTCATCACTTTGATCCTTATTTCTTCAAGCATTGTGATGATAGTTTTGTGTCTTGGCCCCAAAATCCATGAATTAAAGCTTTCAGCCATGTTGTTGTCAACACTATCACAACAGCTGAAAAACTTAAAGTATAATTTAGACCACCTCTCTATATTGTACCACAATAAGTCATCACATATTCCAGTGCCTAACTTCTCCATATGATCCAAATTTCTTTTCAATTCTTGTTCATATGTAGATTTGGCACATCTCCAAAAACAATTTCTTCTTTCAATGCCTTTCCAATTCTTAGACCAGTTGGCTAGAACATGTCTTGCACACATTCTTTGTTCTGCATTTGGCAGAAGATCTTGAATAGCTTTGTCAAGACCCTTTAAACAACAACATTTATACTAACATGAGATCTAACTTAATGAATAAATTAAAAAGAAAATAAATGAATAAATAAAAAAGAAAACAAAAATACCTTCTGCATATCAGTAATGGTTGTCAATTCTGTTCCATCTCCTAGCTCAAGATCATGTCTTACAAGCTTGATAAACCATTTCCAAGTGAATGTGTTTTCAACCTCAACAACTGCCCATGCTAGTGGTAGCATTTGGTTGTTCCCATCCTTACAAACAACCACAAGTAATTGACCTCTAGAAACACCTTTCAAGAAGCAACCATCAAATCCTATACATCTTCTAGCTCCAGCTTTGAATGCCTTCTTTAAAGCATCAAAGCATATGTAAAATGATTGAAACATTTTTCTGTCACCTTCAAAAGTTTCTTCACTAAGTCTCACCACACATGTGCTGCCTGGATTAGTCTTTAAGAGCTCATTTCTATAATCTAAAATTCTTTTAAACTCCTCCACATGATCACCCATAATTTGTTTCAACACAATGTTTCTAGCTTTCCTTGTTACAGTCCTCCCTACATACACATTCAACTCTTTCTTCACTAAAATTTGAAACTGAAAAACTCTAATGCCAGGCTCAGAAATAATTCTGTCCTTGTACCTTTCTGATAAGTACTTTGAATTCACCAATTTATTTTTGGTTGTGCCATTGCATTTATGTACTGGATTATAATTCTTCACCACAAAATCTCATGTTCTTGAATCAATACTTCCAAACAACAACCATGGACAACCAGCAGTACACTTTACCCTCACTCTAGTTGCATCATTAACATATTTATCTAATTCAACATGTTCTTGAACTGCATATCTAGTAATAGCTTCTCTAAATTGCTTAACACTTTCAAAAGCAAGACCAGTCTCCCAAACTATTAACTGACAGGTAGGATCAAATACAACTTTCTTTTTATTTCTTTTTGCTCTTCTTGCTTTTCTTTGTCTTCTTATAGGTTGTTCAACCTCATCTTCCTCATTAACATCTTCATCAGTATCTATTTCAAAACTAACAGCTTCATCTGAATCAAAGTAAGGCTCATCTCCAGCTATCTTACCCTCAAAAGTAGTTTGTTTCTTGGATAAATATACATCATATCCCAAATCAACTCCTTTTTTTCCTAAATCAACTCCTTCAGATCTAGGGCCCTTTTCTTTTCTCTTTTTTATTTTAGCAGCCCTTTTCTCTTTCCTAA